TTAGAGAAGGAAAGAGGGTTAGATGAAATGAAGGATTGTATCCTAACAAGAGCAATCATTTGGCTAAAAACTGTGGATATCTTTGATGACTTCTCCTTTGATGATTTGTGGAGAAATTGGCTAGTAATAGCTAACACTTCAACAAAGAATGATAAAATTCTRTCAGAATGGATTCCGCCTTTGGAAGGTGTTATCAAACTGAACTTTGATGGAAGTAGCCAAGGCAACCCCTAGCCTTCAGGTATAGGGGGTATCCTGATAAATAAGGACAACAACATAATTTCCCTATTCTCAGGACCGGTGGGAGTGGGGGATTCCACAAGGGCAGAAATCCTTGCTGCARTACAARGAATTCAGATCGCCAACCAGCTTGGGGTGGAGCATCTCTTAGTTGAAGGGGACTCTCAGGTGGTAATCAGGTGGCTCCTAAACTTGGATACCACCATTTGGGGCTACAAAGATCTCATAAAAAAAGTAAAGTAGTTAACCAGTAATATGAGAGTTAAAGTAAAATGGGTTAGTAGGTCTGCTAATTCTTTGGTTGATGCTTTAGCCAAATAGGGGATTTCTAGGGAAGATCTCTTTTGTGCTTCTATGTAAGTTGTTATTAATTTGGAAATCTGTACTTAACTAGCCCGGAGAGGTTGCAACTCGTACCTTTCCTTGAGGACTTTGTACTATTGTCTATTGCTGTTTTATAAAATCATTTCAATTATAAAAAAAAATAATAGTATAACTTATAATTTTATGGATTATGAAATTCAATAAATAAGTAATATTGAAATAACTAAATAATGATATTATTTAAATAGATAAATAATATTGTAAATAAAAAATTGTAAATATTAAAAAAATAAGTAAATCATATTTTATCAAAAAATAATAACCTTAAAAATTTTATCAAAAACACAAATAATTATAATAGATTTAATAATATATGATAATAAGAATATAAAATATAAATAATTCAAATTTTTAAATATTATTGATATAATGAAAAATAGATTAAATAATTTAGAGGTATTGAAGCTTTCAAATAACAAAAATAGGTAATAACTTTCAAAATTTTTTTTAACATATATTAATAATTGCTATTATTAATGTTTAACAGTTATATTAAAAATATAACTAATTATTAATTATTTAAAAGGTTAAATTATAAAACAATTGTCTTCTCTTATGTGCTTTTATTGTTTAGATTTCGCTTAACAAAGCCCGTGCATCGCATGGGTCCCTACTAGTTTGGTTTAAAACTCTTACAAAATTCTCCATTGCTTGGATTTTGGAGTTTACAAAAGATATTCTTGAATTGATTATTTTCAATGAACTTTTTTGCTATAGAAGCTATACAACTTCATTGTAGACCCTTTAAAATAGTAGTTTGCAATTGTTTTTTCTTTCACCTTTATTGATCCAGATAACCTAAAAGATATCCTATAAAGCAATGTTCTAAAAACAGGCCCAGAGGCCAAATCGTTTTTGCCTCCAAGTTGCAAGTCATTGGTTTGACCATCCGGGTCGAGTGGGTCAAAGGATGCCACATCACCAGTTTAACCAAGTCCATAGTTTTGGCCATTTTCCAGGTTTTATTAAAACCAGACCTAAAATCTTAGTCGGGTGATGGTTTGAACGATTCAACCATTCGGGTGAACAGTGGGTTGAAAACAATGTTAGAGGCAATTTGAACAGCATACATGTGTTAGTTTTCTTCTTTTTTCTTAGTTTGTTTTTATTGCAACTTCTTTTAAACCTATGAATCTCATTTTGAAAAGCATTGAGTGGAAAGGAGGTAAGCTTGTACTATGCAAGCTATACATAAGGGTGCAACTTGGGTTGGCCCAACCATTTTACTGATGACAATTTTTCCATCCCTGGTGGGTATCTGGCCTCCTTGACCTAATGGAGTCAAGGATGGAGATTGCCTTGGCAGGACAGGGATGGGATGGGGATTAATAGGGATCCCCAATCAGGGATGGGGTCAGGGATTTGGAGTGAAGTCTTACCCCACCCCGACCCGAATTATATATATACTAAATATTATTCATATTAAATATATTATTATATATATGATAATATTTATATTATTTTAATTATACATCAAAATAGATTTAACATATTATTTTATTTAAAAAAATCTTTATTTTAAGTAAATCTATTTTCAAAAAAATATTGTTAATTAAAAATTTTTAGGGATTCGAGCACTCGTGAGGAACCCACTTCTGTCAAGGATTGGGGATGGAGGATAACTTTTATCCTTAGTAGGGGTCTGGGTCACGAATAAGGATTTATTTCAGAGTCGGGGTTAGGGATGAGGAATATAATCCCCGCCCGAAACCCGCCCCATTGCCATTCCTACATTTTACACTGCTTTGGCCTTTCGGGTTATGACCTTTAGGCTAGACCCATTCTAATTTTGACAAAGGCCCAACCCGAACCTACCCAAGTTACACCCCTAGCTATATAACTTCATTGAGCCTCTAAACTAAAACAATCATCTCCAATTGTTTTGTCTTTCATATTTTTTGGCGTAAATTTCTGAATTTATTTACTAAAAATCATAATGATTGGATTTATTAAATAAAATATACTTTTAATGATAAAAAAATATTTAAAATTACAAATAATAAAAATATTTAATTATTAAAAGTAACTTTGTAAATAGCAAAAAATTATAAATAACAAAAAATAACATAAATTCGAAAAACATTATTTTTTTCAAGAGTAATATATTATGAATTACATTAATTTCAAATTTAAAATTGTTAATTACATTAATTTATTATTTTTCTTGGTGCAAATGATGTAAGGTTTGCATTTCCTTTTAATCCCTTTTGTCATCATATTAGATATGGAGTTTTTCAGTGCATCTCACTACCCCACTAATATGAAGTGAAAATCAATTCTACTAACTTGTTTGTCGAGGCTTTGAATGGGTCTGGTGGATGCCAATGCTAAGAGTGCTCAGAGTTTTCGTGGGAAGGAAATCCCTTATCATTAATAACAAACTGAGATTATATGATATACTCTTCAACTTGAGGGAAACGTTGAGTTGTTGGCCTTGGTTTAATGTCGGAATATATTGTCTGTAGCAACTATTTATAGGTTATTTATATAGTGTTTTATGTAGTGTCCGTCAGCAGTATACTTTGGTCTCTTCTTTATTCAGGGCACTCCAATCCTTACTTTATACTAAACACAATTAGTGATTAATATAAATACCCAACCACCTGTTAGGTGAGATTATCTATCTCATCCTAAACCGAACAAAGCAGGAGGGTTTTTTCTTCATCTACCCTGTAGGACACGCTTCTTCCTTTATTCTCTACTGTTACAAGGCTCTAAAATGTTACAGTGGTAGATAAAGAAGACAATGGCATGAAGTCAATACAGTAAAAAGTAATACTTAGTTCTGTATCAGTGGAATCACGTCTATGTATATCAACGCATTGCTTTATAGTTTGTACATTAGATATAAATTATGATAAAAGAAAAGCTAGAGATTATTGATTCCTTTGCATTCAACAACCTCTACTACAATGAACTGAATAAAAAGGAAACTACAGTTAATATTGAAGTGTATGGCCTGTTACAAGTATGAAATGATAGAATTTGGGACATGCTAGGTAGTCTCATTTAAGTAGAATCTTCGCAACAAGTCAGCACACAATCCTTCAGAAAGTTTGTCAGCTGAGAATTATAAAGGTCTGGGTCATTTCTGAAATGGTCAACATGGGGCGTGGAGATAAAGTTGCATGCTCTGACCTCATGCCCTGCCCTCCGCTGCTCGTCTATAAAAGATTCAACATAGTCCACTGGAATAACTCTGTCTGCAGAACTGTAGATATATAGCTGGGGACAATGTGGTTGTTCTGATGACAAGAGACCCACCACATCAGAGAGCCTCCTGTTAATAAAATCAGAGACAAATCAGATACTGGTGAAGATAATATTGCGTGATAAGTAATCAAGTGCATTTTGATTCCCAGGAATTTTATGTGCTGAATACAATACATAGATAGCTAAGATGAAGTATTGCTTATCCATTTGAAAGATGCAAACAAAAGCTCTGGTCTGAGATTTATTATACCCAGATAAATACCCTAGAAACCACAGGACTATTTAATCCATATTTCAAGTGCACTTTACAGGATCGGTGCAAAAAAAAGTACCATGTGTCAGTCAAAGAGCCATTCTTCAACATGGTTGTACTTGGACAGCAACATATATGGAAGTCATCAAACGCTTGAAGACACCCTTTTTAGTACATTATTCTGTCCAGCCAAGATGAGAAAAAGATGACGGCAGGCAAGATAGGATTAAAGTGAATTTTTGACCTAGAAGTCCTGAACAATCTCTCAGTTTACCTGTCCTGTATAGTAGGCTCATCTGTACGGTAGCATAGTCAAGATTACTTTAACTTGCACCAGCCTTTATATCTGAACAATATAGATAAGAAATAGGGTAAACGACTTAAACATCCCTTAAGATTTCTTGTAAATACTGAAATATCCCATCTTTTCAAATTGGACCAAGACTTCCCCTATTAGGTGACGTCATCAGACAAAAAACTCCCTTCCATCCTAATCCGTTTGCATGACTTGGTACTTGTTAATTTTTTTAAAAATCCCAGTTTTTTCCGCCTAGAAAATTCAATCAGACAACAAAAACAAAACAACTATTCCTTTGAGAATTAGAATCTCCATAACGTTAAAAGAATGACTTCTGAGAATTAGAATCACCATAATATTAAAAGAATGACTTCTTTTGAGAATTAGAATCACCATAACGTTAAAAAAATGACACCTGTGATAATAGCAATGGTAGTTCCACAGCTGCTGCTGCTGCCATCCCCGTACTTCTACTGGGATCAAAAAGGTTTCAGTGAAGAAAAGCATTGAAGTTGGTGGTGTGCTTAGGACAGCAACATTGCCTTATTCTCAATCTCCTACAAATATTAGATTGAGTTTCCAACTAGAATGCCCACCATCGTAATTATCCTCCACAGGAGCTAATGGTCACAGACATGAGAATTCCAGAGCAAAGGAGACAGCACAAGTTTGGGGAGGACCAGAGGCTAAAGAAATACCAACAAAGGCCAATGAGGTTGCGGAGACTGTAGTGGCCACAGGAAACGAAAGCTTGAAACCTCAAACATTAAAAAGAATTATGTCCTCTAGGAGATTCAGACTCCTCAAATTGCCTTGGCTTTCAACCCAGACAGTCATCTCACTCCCAACTCTTACGCCTCCTTGCTTGAACATATTCAAAACTTCAACCAACAGAACAACACCACTGCTTTTTCTCTCCTAGCTGTGTTAGATCTGTTCCATATTAGAAGCAGTTGCTGACCTCAACTCCTGCACCAGTTCTAATCTCTCTATACATTTTCAGAAAACAAAATTTCCGGGGAAGATGGATTTCATAACAAGAATGTTTCTTTCAATTTTCATATTGGTAAGAGGAGAATGGTGGCTAAATTAAGAGCCTTTTTTGATTCTCAGGTAGTCTTGAGCGATGATCTAATGAAGCCAAGCCTCTACAAGTATGTGATTGTGAGAAAGGATTTGATAAGTGGAGATGAAACAAGAATCGTTGGGAAGTAATAGCTTTGTGGGTCAACATTGGGCTGCTTCTTGATGGGAACCCAACTCAGCTAATTTGAGCAAGCATGTCTGGGTGACACAAATTTGCAACCTCGGAGCTCCTTTTTCGACTCCACTTTTCAGTTTCTTTGTGGTTCTCCATTTCTATGAAAACTGTTTTTCATTTGTCACTTTGTTTGCAGTTGTAAGTATCTCGAACATTCATTGGTAGATCCATCCCGTTCTGGTTTTTTTCCTTGAGTTACAGTCTGTGGTTTTCTTTAAAAATTTAAAGAATAATGAAGGGCAAAAATGTATTTTCAATGATTCTGTTATCCATAACGGTGTCTTATTTTAATAGGGGAGGTTTAAGTCTTACAATAAATACGAGGGGCAGCATAAGTATTTATGTTAAAATTCAAGGGAGGTTTAAGTCTTTTACCCTAAGAAATATTAATGTTGGCATCACAATGGTCATAGAATCAGCATAGGAGTATGATAGAATATTTTCCATTTTCTGACTTTTTGAGTAGTTTCTGGTTTCAGGGCTATTTTGATAATTTTGTTTACTAAAACTGGTGTCCAGCATCTTGTTAGTAGTAGGGGTGCAATTTGGGTTGGCCCAAGTTAGCATTTGCTTCAAGCTGAGGCCTTTTTTTAAGTAAAAATTAATATATATATATATATATATATATTAAAAGAAGAGAGTGCATACAGGAAAATTGGCAAGATATCATCCAAGGAAAAGAAAACAACAAACCCTAAAGCAATCTCCGAACAAAAAACTTTTGGACATGACCACTTCCCAAGGACCCCAACCCAAGCTACAGAAAAAAATCCCACAACCAAAGCTCCTTACGTGCACAAAACCCAACTTTCACCATTATAGGCCCAAACACTTCATATCCAGACACCTTCTACAATCACAGATAATCTACTGACAACTCTTCTTTTCCATCTCCAAAAATATTTTCTAGCAAAATCTTCCCCTCCCAGAAAAAAAATAATAGTCTCAAATGTTTTACTTGGATTTCCATCTCTACAATCTTTTTCCAAATCCACCTCTTTTTCAATCTTTCTCACCCAATCTAAAGTTTCCTCATCATCCTCCTCTTGCCCCGTAGCATTCTTTTCCTTCCATCAACTTTTCACAATTTTGAAGCTCCGTCCCTTCTGATTTGATGACAATCCTCCAACCTCGTTAGTTCTATCCTTGACTTTCACACTCTTTCTCCTGTAAATCCTCTTGTATTGCTGCAAGGACCTACTCTAACGAGGCCTTCTTTCAATTTGGAAAACACCTTAGTAACATGAATCAACTGACCATTACTTGAAGCCTTCAATTTTTTTCTGGTTTCAATAGAACTTTGTGTTTGTTTCCATCTTCTTTTATCTGACCCTCCTTTTCTGCTTCCACCCTCTTTCTACCCAATTCTCTTCCCACTCTCCCTACTACAACTTCTGTAAAATTCTGTCTCAAGTATCCTTTTCCACAACTCCATCCTCATTGTTCCTTTCACTAGTCTCATTCCCTTGTGCAATCACAACCTCCAACTCTGCAAGGGAGCAAAACCTCCACAATTCCATCTTCCTCATCATTCCTTTCACTAATCTTCTTCCCTTTGGCATTTTTTCAGAGCGGCTGCCGCAGAAAATTTGCAGCAACTTCCTCCTACTTCAATTCTTTTTTTTTGTAAAACTTCCTCCTACCTTAATTATCTCTCATATAAAGTGGGGACCACATCTTCCTACCTTACTCCTCCCAAACAAATAATCCTCTTCCTGCCTCCATTCTCTTTTACATAAAGAGGGGACCACATCATTATACTTCCTACTTTACTTCTCACAAGCAAACAAGGCAGTCAAATCTGAAGCAGAATGCACTGAAAGTGTTTCTTTGGGCAGTGCAATTATTCCTTGTGTATTCCTTTTTCCTCACAAGAAAACAAGGGAGTCAAACCTTTTCTCTCTTTTCTTTCTTCATGCTATATCCTCTCTCTTCTTTCCTAGTTCTCTGGCAGGTTTGATGAAGATCTTCTGTTCAAGAGGTCGTTCAGTATCATTTCTTTCTTCAAATCAACCATTAAAACCAGTCAAACAATCCAAGCAAGTTCTTTCCTTCCCTTTCAACTTCCTTAGTTTCAGCCTTTCCATGTGACTTTCTCCTTAGGAAATTCATGTCTTTTGTGCATGGCCAATTCAAATCCCTCTGAAATTCAATTCACCATCATTATTCTCTATTATAAATCATCCTACCAAGTTTCAGCCAGAATCTCCATTAAGGGCTCCAATTTTCCAAGTGTGTCTTCTCCCAAAAGGAGGATTTTCATCCTTTTGTTTCCAAAGTCCAAACCACTTAGAACCCCTTCAAATTAAGTAGCATTGTACATTTGTTTATTCTAAATATACACATAAAAGTCCATAGAAAAATATCAGTTTTAGATTCATATTCTTGAACTGCACAAACTTGGTCAATCTGCAAAGAAACCTATAGTTTGCTCTGATCTAGAAAACTTTGTAGGCCAAGTCACATATCTTGGATAGGTTCAACAATTTCTCTAAAGCTGCAATATATCCTCCGGGCTCAACCTCCAAGCTCACAGTCCAGCTAGCTCCCTTAGGACTTGACCATAGTAAATAGTACATCAAGAATAACACAAGACAAGAGAGGGGATGTGATGGGAGGAAGAGGCACAAACATAAACATGTAAAATCAAAATTTTTTTCATTCCTATTTCAACATATTTTTACATGCAGATCAATAAGAACAAATTTCAAGTAAAAATAGTAAGATGTGTATATTACAAGTCCAATAATACATAATATAACAGTGAATGGGTAGAAAAATTATGGTTGCATCTAAAAGCAAGTGATAATCAGGAATGGGCACCTTACCTGTTAAATGTTGGAAGATTAAGAACCACTTCAAAGAACTTCTCCAAAATTGCTAGCAAAGCTGCCTCGGTTAATGCAGGTTTGGCTTCAATTGAACTTCTTGTCCCAATCAAAATTTTGCCAGATTCTTTTAAGCTAATTGATCCTTTTGTTGCAATACTCTGTTTCTTCAAAAATGCAGCAGAGAAACCTGAGGCCCAAACCTAGATAAAGGAAACAAAGACAATGATATCTTTTAGAATGACAAAAGAGTGATTGAAAGAAGAAAAAAGGAAAATCACCCAATATGTTCTTGGAGGATAGAACTGTTCCATAGTAGGCCATAATAGGCATTATACAAAGCATGGTAAACATTTAAAATGCTATAATGCTGTATTCTTCCTAGGAAACAACAACAACAACAATAATAAGTAAATGTGTCTAAAAATCCTGGATGTGTGTTTTGTCATGTGTCTAAAACTCTTACCAATGTTTAGAAAACAAAGGCATATAGGCCTGGAGGCTCAAACATTTATTCTTGCTAGGAACATGAATTAAAATTAGAAAAATTTAGAAACATGCATAAAAATAAGGACCACAATTTACGAAAATAAGATATATAAATGACTGAACCATCAAAAAATAATTATTATAAAAGACAAAGAAAGTGCCTGGATTAAGGTTTCTCAGTTTTTACTTACATACTGAAAACAAATAATGTTTACTCGTTATTTTATAACAGACAGCATAGGCATTGTAGAATTCCATTTCAACAAACAACGAAAAGCTATGAAGACAACCCTACACCATCCATTGGGGGGAGGGAGGAGGTCTTTAATAGGCTTTTCTGGCTTATTGAGTTGTGGAAGCCAAAATCGGGTGCAAAAAAGATGTTTGGAAAAAAAAAACGTAAGTGAGCTTTTATTGGACAAAAAAGCAGAAGCCCGTTTTGGAAAAAAATGGCTTTTTCCTTTTATCTTTTCGAGAAGCCATTCTAAGAAAAAGCTGTTGCCAAGAAGCATCTTACCAAATGCTCAAAACTGACATCTAGAAAAAACGTTTGGAAAAAAATGTAAATGGGCTTTTATTGGACAAAAAAGTAGAAGCCCATTTTGGAAAAAAAATGGCTTTTTCCTTTTACATTTTCTGGAAGCCATTCTAAGAAAAAGCTGTTGCCAAAAAGCATCTTACCAAATGCTCAAAGCTGACATCTAGAAAAAATGCTCTTTTGAGAAAGTGGCATTTTTGCAAACCTATTTAGATTAAAAACAAAAACAAGCCCTCCCAAATGCAGCTTAAATACCCTAAATAAATTAAACATAATATATAACTGTACAAGGTGTTAATATAAACTGATTATAAAATATAAATATTAGTTTACAAGATAAATATTTTAATTTTCTTTTAAGTAAAAAGGTTGATCTCTGGCTGTCATGTCATGTGAAACCCATTTTGATGAATGTATAAATGTGCATTCTTAACATAAGACACCTTGATGTATGAGATGCATGTACCTTAAACGTGTAGGCATCAAAGCATTTTCTTTATCCTTGTCTTGACGCAAACCATGCGGTGTAAACCTCATGCATCTTATTTTACGCATTACTACTAACATGATAATCATGTTCACAGAGCATAAGTAGCATAACTATTTTTTTTCTTGGTATAAAAAGCTTACTTTTATCAATACAGAAACAGAATGACTTGAGAGCATCTTACATGGCAATGGAGAAAAAGCTATATATATATATATATATATATATATATATATATATAGACATATGGGGTATCTAGTACTATATTAAAAGCAAAACCTTTTAACAATGATGTTAAAAAACAAATCTTATGGAACCCAAATTTCCTTTACCTGTGGATTGGGAGCTGCAACTGGAGCTGAATCAACAATGCAACCTCTAATCTTTCCCTTCAGAGATGGATCCTGCTTCTGAAACTTCTCAAGAATAACTCCATACCTATGTTACATACAGCATAAATAACAAAAACACATGGCTTTAATTACAAGAAAGCAATGTATTGGTTTTGTGTGAATTTGTGTAAGCATGTGTCAGTGATTAAAAATTTGTATGAATTTTAAAATTCTAACATTTAGTCTCGGTTTTGATTATGACCAAAAAGTAAACTACATAGAGTAGTAAGTTTTCTAATTTCAGTCCATAATTGAGAAAGAAATGAAAAATTAAATAACTAGATAAGATAGGACCCGGAAAGAGAGGGCCTAAAAATTTAAAAGAGGAAGAAAAAGGAACCAAAAGAGGTGCTTGAATAGAGTACAAGATGGTATTTCGTTCTTCTTATAACATTAACAAAATACTTTCAGCTGCTGAAAAAGAAAAGAACAGAAAAGGAGAAAAGCTGCAATTGAAGAATCACCTTTTTTTAGATATTGATTTTCTTTCCTGAAATTCTACCAAATTTCCGAAAAAGATTTCCGTCCTGAGCCAGTTTGCAACCCATCAAAAACCCAGATTTTAAAATCTTTTATGGATTTGTGTATTTGTGAGTGTGATCTTCCTCACACATACGAGAGAGAGAAAGAGAGAGAGAGAGAGAGAGAGAGAGAGAGACTTACGTTAGCCACCCAGTATTGCTAAAAGTGTGAAAAATCAGGTTCTTCCCATGCTCTTCTTCTAACCAACCAACCAAATGGTTCACAAGCAATTCAATGTCCTGCTCAGCTTTCCCCCCAACCTGATAGCTGAGGATCTTATCCATAGGAAAAGTGAAGGTAATGGCATGGAACCCCCTTGAAGTATACCAATCCGCATACCTCTTCAGATGCTTTTGCTTTGCTCCCAACCATCCAAGCAGAACCACCACTGTCCTGGACTTGGCACATGAACATTCTGAGTTCCGCAAATCACCATAATTATAAGATTCTGGTAAATGCCATCTGTACATTACCTCAGGGGACGATAAAGGGGTAGAGCATGTAAGTTCTATTGGTTTTGGGGTTTTTGCCAGTTTTGCAGAATGATAAAGGGTAAGAAGGATAGGAGGAAAAGCAACCAAGGAAGAACGTGAGTTGGACAGAAGATTCTGAGTGCTAGGAAGGCCTGAATTAGGAACTGCATAGTTAATATTAGGTATGGGAATCTGAACCCTTGTTGCAAATGACAAGTTTGTAAGCTTAGAAACCGAAATTGTAGACACCCATGACTTCGCTTTTGAGGCTGAGTTCCCTGTGGTGGCATTTGATAATTCCGTAAAGAAACTGCAATCCGATGATCTGGGTGGTGGAAATTTATCAGAGATGTCAGCAGAGACAGAAGCTATGGCAGCAGCAGCCACTGCAGTTAGAGGTCGCTGAAGGATTCCAGACAAGGAACCCATTTTGCAAACAATCAAGTTCTCTCATACCAACATCAAATAATGTTCACCCGAGCAAAAAACACATTTGCAACTGCAACGTAGACAACGCCAGTTGCATCCGGCAACCCAACAAGAACTTCGACCTGAGTTACCTGCTTGAACCAAATAATTGAAAGTGCAGGATTTCTAAGTCTCTCTCTCAATTCAACTAATCAAGAATAAGGAAGAAAAAGAATAGAGATAACCATGCAAAGATCATCAAAAGGGTCCTTCCCTAATTTACCATTTTACTTAATCAACAATAAGAAGCAACCGACCAGTTCAACACGCGGCTAATCCAGATCATGATTGAATAGACAAAAGAAGCGACCACGTTCTTATTGCAAAAGATGGAGATTAAAAAATGAAGAAAACGAGAAACTTCGGAAAGCCATGAATTAAGCAAGCATGCGCATCCTTACCAACAGAAAAGAAAGGGAAAAAACGAAAATTAAACGCAATTGTTGTCTTTATCTTACTAGCTATGCTGACAAGGCTGTGATGCTAATGATGTTAATAAGATAGAAAGAGAGGATGGCTTCTGCTTCAAAGTTGTTATCGAGCTGTCATACTTTGATGACAGCCCGATAATCTCCACCAGGCACACTCCTTCTCTCGTAACAGACTTCCTGCCGTGAAATTACAACAATTAACAACAAGAAAAGTCATAGAATTTACCAATGAATATAAAAGTGAGAGATAAGGGCTGAAGTGGCTGACTGAATTACTTATTCTGTCTTCTTTTAGTAATGAGAAAACAAAGTCATTCAACTCAACCAATTCAGCTGTAATAAAACGCCCCCTAAAGAACAAAGAATTTGCTCAAATAAAACTGAAAATTAGACTTAAAACAGGCCCACGCATGTCACAGAGAGAGAGAGAGAGAGAAGAAGAAGAAGAAGAAGAAGAAGAAGAAGAAGAAGAAGAAGAAGGCATAATTAATAGCCGAGGACTTCAGAATTTGCAAACAACCAGATGGGAAATTTGAAAGAAAGAAACGCTTAAAGCGATAAAACAAAAGACGAACAATATAAACCAGCAAAGGTAGATAAAAACGCCCAAATTTCTTCTTCTATGTAACAATTCCTGCAGAAAAGCTTTTCAACAAAATCCAATAAATCCTTGTAAGTCATAAAAAAAAAAAGAAAAAAAAAACAGCAAAAACAAACACAGAAAAAAGACTCATAGCAAAAACCCAAATCCCAAGAGGGAAACGACCATAGGGTCAATATGGGAAAAAATCCCACTGCTTTCATGCTTAATGCTTTGCCCCTGAAAACCCTAAAAAAGAAAAAGATCGAAGGGAAAAAGCAAAAAGGAAATCTCACCTTCGGAATCCTCACATGGAAGCAGCAGCACTCTGCAAGAACGCTGCCATTGAAAACTCCGACTCAATTTATACATTTGTCGAAGCGGGAGGTTGTCCCCTTCTCCAATACTCACTTCCCTTTTAATCTTGCCAACCCAGACCCATTTTAATATGGGTTCAGAGCCAGTGTTGGGTTCGGGCCAACCCGTTTTATCAGATGCCCAATAAGTTATTTAGTTCATCCACTTCAGCTTTTAAGTCACTCAATTCAGCCAATTAGCAAGATTTGCGTTTCCTACGAGCAAGCAACATGCGAAGGAATAAATAAATAACGGGTGGTTGTAAATTTGTAATTCGGGCCCACCCAATAATGGGGGAGAGGTTGCTATCAACGAGTATCTTACGCTTCTTCGTTGAAATGAATTAAAAAAAAAAAAAGGAAATTGTCTAAAACTTATCATGAATTTTCAGCATTTCTCTTAAATTTATCATTCTTAAATTTATTACAATTTTTTAAAATGTCTAAAACTCACCGTGTCAGTAAGTTTTTATTTTTCAAAACTTACCTTCCATTAGTGCACCGTTAATGCTTCTTAATAGAGGTGTCTGCATCGGCATAAATAGCATTTTCATTACCAAATTACCCTTAGATGGTGAGTTAAAGGAAAAGGGTATTTTTCAGTTTTCAATTTTCATGTTTTTTTTTTACATTTTTATATTTTCTACAATTTATAAATTTTCCTGTACTTTTTGTTATTTATTTGCAATTTCTGTGTTTTTCTATAGTTTTTGGTGCTTTTCTACAATTTTTATTTTCTGATTTTGTTTTTCAATTTCTATAGTTTCTATAGTTAGAAACTAATTTTTATTTTGTTTGCAATTTCTATAATTTTTTATATTTTTTGAAATTTCTATGTTTTTATGTATTTTATATTTGAAAATATTTGTTTGAGCATTTTCCTGTTTTCATGTCTAATTATTAAAATATATGTATATATTTTATATTTTTATATGAAGGTTAAAATGGTAAATATTTATTAACACCTGTTAGTTTGTTTAACGTCAAGTTAGTGACATGGTGACTTTTAGACATTTTGAAAAGTTTGTTAGTTTAGACAATTTCCCAAAAAAAAAATGAAATCTTCCCTTGCTACCCATGCATGGGTTTAAGGAAAAATAGTAATTACATTTAATAATAATCTTTCCACCGAAAATACAAAAGGGATCTGACTAGGTTGACGTGTCTTGTAGATTCAACAGCCTGGTGTTCTAATTTGCTTTTAGGCTCCGTTTGTTTGTAATACAAACATCGAATCAAGGTATTTATGTATTATGGTTCACGTGTTTGCAAGCATTTGTTTGATATGTAAAAAAGTAATGATTATCAGATCCAAAATGTATTTTCTACATTTTTGTACTTTGAAAAGAGAGCATTACTGTACCTATTTTTTGGATACAATTTTGTATTCTTTTGATAATCAACTTTTTAACCAAAGTTAAGGCATTGGAGCATAAGGTAGTTGGAGCATTTAATGATGGAGCCCACACTTAGCACCGATTTTAAACAAACAAGATGAGTGCAAAAACGGTTTAAAATTTGAACCATGTTTGTATTCATGAATCGAAAAGAGGGTAAATATGTCGTGTACATATTTGCATTTGCATTGCAACCAAACGCAGCCTTAACTTCAAAATTGTTCTTGGAACTTGAAGCGGCACGCAACACGTCCCTGTGAACCATCAAATTGAACGCATTGCAGCTTCGGTTGCTCAGGTCCTCTCTATCTATATATAGGGGCCCCCTAGGGGGTCCCATTTGCACAATTTCCTAGAGTTTTTTGGAGCAGAAATGAGAGAGGTTGGAGAGCTTAGCAAACATAGTTGAGGTCAACAAAGTCGGTCCAGTTTTTTCTCAGTCTTGTAAGTGAGTCCTTTTCTCTTTTCCTTCTAGTATTTATGTCTTTTGATGAGTCGAAGGTGGAGTACTACCAGGCCACTCCTCGGCTCAAGAGCGGTGACAATCCCAAAAAGAGGCATTGACCTCTCGTCACCAACCTAGAACCAGATTGGAGTTTGGACCCATCGAGGTAAGCGATGAGGAGATAGTAACCGAGGAATTTGCCCGATGTGACACTGAATACACACTTATTGGGTTGATCTTCAAGTTAAATTTCCTTAATACGACAAACACGTCAATTAAATCAACAATTAAAGATTTTGAAGACTTGCTTTTTGCTACCATATCATCAACATAAACTTCAATTTTATTGCCAATTAAATCAAAAAAATTCTGTTTACAAGACACTAGTAGGTCGCCCCGACATTTTTAGGCCAAAGGGCATGACTTTATAACAATATAAACCATTTTTGGTCACAAAAGCTTTCTTCTCTTGATCGACAGGATCCATTTGGATCTGGTTATAACTGGAATAGACATCCATGAAGCTTAGTAATTCAAACCCCAAGGTTGCATCTACCAGCCAATCAATCATTGGAGTGTGCAGTTGTCTTTCGGACAGGCTCTATTTAGGTCGGTGTAGTCCGATGCACATGTGCCATTTCTTGTTAGCCTTTTTCATGAGCACCACATTCACGATCCAACTCAGGTATTTGATCTCCCTAATGAAGTCTGCTACTAGTCAAATTCTGTTTACAAGACACTAGTAGGTCGCCCCGACATTTTTAGGCCAAAGGGCATGACCTTATAACAATATAAACCATTTTCAGTTACAAAAGCTTTATTCTCTTAATTGACAGGATTCATCTGGATCTGGTTATAATTGGAATAGACATCCATGAAGCTTAGTAATTCAAACCCCAAGGTCGCATCTACCAACCAATCAATCATTGGAGTGTGCAGTTGTCTTTTGGACAGGCTTTATTCAGGTCGGTGTAGTCGATGCACATGTGCCATTTCTCATTAGCCTTTTTCATGAGCACCGCATTCGCGATCCAACTCAGGTATTTGACCTCCCTAATGAAGTCTACTATAAGGAGCTTCCTGACCTCCTCATTAATTACCCTCTACCTCTCTGGGGCAAAGTTCCTTTTCCTCTTTCTGATTTGTCTAACCAGGGAGTCAACATTTAGTTTATGAGTAATAACAGAGGGGTCTATGTTGGGCATGTCGATAATCGACCAAGCAAATATATCAATATTTGATTTTAATAAAATTACCAATTTAGAGCGTAGTGGTTTCTCGAGTCAAGATCTGATCTCCATTGTCTTCTAGGAGTCGGTATCTGAGATCAGCACCTGGACGATGCCCTCCATCAGGCAAGCTTTGTCTTTTTCGTTCTCCAAGAGTGGCTCTAGATCTACCTCCAGTGCTTGCTTCCCCTTTCCTTTCAAGGCCACCACATAGAACTTTCGGAACTTGAGTTGGTCCTTGCACACCACTCTCACTCCATAGTCCACGGGGAACTTCATGGCTAAGTAATATATGGACACTACAACCTGAAGTGCATGTAGAATTGGTCAACCTAATATGGCATTGTATGGTGATGATGTTGTGACGACTAAAAAGTCATAGTTGAATTTAGTCTTGTTCGATGCAGATCCTACTGTTATCGACAAGTTTATCCTTCTTAGAGGTCGTACTACCTCTCCACTAAAGTCAACCGAAGGCATGTCGGCTGGGGTGAGGTCCTTCCTCTACAATCCCATCTACTCAAATGCTTCTAAGAAAAGTATATCAAACGAGCTATCAAAGTCGACCAAAATACACTTCACCTCATACTCATGAATGATGAGCTTTACTACGAGGGTGTCATCGTGGGGGTAGTGGACCCTGCATGTATCATCTTTAGTGAAATAGATCACTTCTTCAACTAATGGTCGCTTTGGCAGGTTTTCCTCCTCGTGAGTCATCTCACAAACAAAGGTTTCACCAACTGAGGTGCCACAACCCACTACTATGGATCCGCCCCGTGATAATGTTGATCACTCTACGGATCGATGAATAATTTTGTTGTTGCTGGGGGCTGCTCTCTCCTCGGCAAAGCCTCTTCTCTCCTTCACCAATCAACCTAATGGTCATCCATCTTGATGAACTTTTTCAGATAGCCTTGCTTGATGAGTTCCTCGATCTTGTCCTTCAGGTTCTGGCAATTTTTAGTGCCATGCCCCCTTTCTCTGTGGAAGTGGCAATACTTATCCTGGTTCTTGTTCATTGGGTTTACCTTCAAATGAGCCGACCACTTCAAGTACTCCATCAAGATCTCACCCCTTCTGGCATTTAGTGGTGTATAGTTCTTGGTCTTGATAGGGGGAGTCCAAGAGTGTCGGGTGGACTACCTAGATCTCTTGTGGGAGGACCTCATTTGATGGTGAGGAGACATGCTTCTTCTGGGTGACCTACTGCATCTAAGCAATCTACTTCTCTTCCAGTGTTTGTTTCTTCCCCCCTTTGATCATCATTTGACCTCCTTCTTTTTCTACCCAACCTGCTTTGGAAACCGAGTGCTTCTTTTACCTTGATGTACTTGCTAGCCTAATTGAGGAATCCCTTCATGGTAATAAGGGCATTCAACTCAATCGTCCATGCGCAGGTCAGGGTGTCAAACGTCATTGACCACTGTAGTGAGTTGAACGACAGGGTTGAGGTTCAAAATTTGCAATGCTCCTAGTTGAACCGCTTGACATAGCCGCTGAGCAACTCATCAAGGCATTGGACAACATTCATCAAACTTGTCATAGACTTGGGGCAACATCTGCTAGTGGTGAAGTGGGTAGCGAATAGGTCTACGAACTTCCTCCAAGTTTGAATGGAGCTTGTAGCCAGCCCAGAGCACCACATCCGAGTTGTGCCTCGGAAGGTGGATGGGAAGGCCATGCAAAAAATGGCCTTGGTAGCTTCGTATAACTACATGAGAGCTTGGAAGCTCCCCACATGGTCGACTGGATTGCTAGTGTTGTCATATGATTCGAGGTTGGGGGCCTTTAAGTCCTTGGGTTGAGGGGCCACAAGGATCTTGATCGATAGCAGAGATGTATGAGAGATATGTGGCACGGGCAACATCCCAGTTCGGCTTGCTTATGGATCCTTCTTTAGGGTTTCCTCATCCTTAGGCACGAAATGTCTCTTAGTAGGTTCGCGTCAGACA